GATCAGGGCTCCGTCACGCCGGGCGCTGCCCAGACCCCGAACGAGATCAGGGCCCCGTCACTCCGGGCGCTGCACAGACCCCGACCGAGAACAGGGCCCCGTCGTGCCGGGCGCTGCACAAACGCCGACTGAGATCAGGGCCCCGTCGTGCCGGGCGCTGCACAGACCCCGACCGAGAACAGGGCCCCGTCGTGCCGGGCGCTGCACAGACCCTGACCGAGATCAGGGCCCCATCGTGCCGGGCGCTGCACAGACCCCGACCGAGACCAGGGCCCCGTCGTGCCAGGTGCTGCCCAGACCCCGACCGAGATCAGGGCCCCGTCATGCCGGGCGCTGCCCAGACCCCGGCCAAGATCAGGGCCCCGTCGTGCCGGGCGCTGCCCAGATCCCGGCCTAGGTCAGGGCCCCGTCACGCCGGGCGCTCCCCAGCCACCAAGTGAGACATAATCCCTGCCCCAAAGCACTCACTATCTAAATAGGCAAAGGGAGGATTATCAACCCCATTTTACAGATGGGGAAACCGAGGCACGGAGCGTCGTGCGTGATCCCATGCTCACAGCATGAATCACAGGATTATTCACCCAAAGGGGCACCCCCCCTTGTGTGTATTGGTCAAAGCCTCTCAGGGTTGGCACACTAAAGGCCCACATAATAGATCTCCTTTCTCCCTCCCTTGCTCCTTATCTTATCTCTCCACCTCCCTTATCTCTGGCTTTCCCTCCTCTCCTTTCTCCCTCCCCTGTTCTCCCTCACTATCTCAGCAGGTTCTCGGGCATCGACTTGTGACGTTTGCACAGAGAAGGAATGAAAGACCTTCTTTATTATTTGTAGCAAGACACTGCCTAGATGTCACAGAAGACATCAGGGCACTGCCCAGACCCCGACTGAGATCAGGGACCACCCCCCCCCCCCCCTACCGGGCGCTGCCAAGACTCCGACCGAGATCAGGGTCCCGATGCGCCAGGCGCTGCACAGACACATACTACATGCAAACTTGCACTGAAATAACAAAATCAGTTGTAACTCACACCTTTTGTCAATTGCATGCAAGTCTATTTGGCCATTGATGTCAGCCTAAAAGTGTCCTAGTTTGATAGCCCAACCAACTCTAATGAGGACAGTTTTATTCCAAATTCCTTGCAGACGCCCACCAAAACCTTGCCCCAGAGCGTGTGGGCCTTGTCCTCATGGGAAAGGGTTACCTTAAATCGGCTTCATAGCTGCTCTAAGGAAAGCAGCCCAAACCCCAGTGCGAAAGCCCCGGTTTCTGTTTAAGAGCCGCATAGGTTCGGTTTAGCTTCCACCTGTTCCGATTTAAGCTGACGGGAAAGAAGACGGGTTTAAACAAAAATAGGTCTCCACACAGGGGTTCGCGCCCGTTTAAAGTTACGCCGTTCTGCCGCCGTTCCCGGCCTTTGCAAAGTTGCTTCCGTTAGGAGGAGAAATTGGTGCTACAAAGCGGGTGTGTTCTTTGGCGCAGCCCTGTTTATTGACAAGCAACGTACGCACAGTCCTGGTCTCGTGAGCACGGTCAAAACAGCAGCGGGCAGCTTCCTTGCACCGAAATGCCCACGTCTGCCTCTCTGTGCGCAAGAAACAGCGTCCCTCTGCGGCCTCCATTGGCAGATATCCCACAGCCTGCAGCCCAGGGAAAACGCCACACTGGGCGTGGCTTAGCTCTGACCTGCCGTGCTTTGGGCGGTAAGCCCCCGGTGTCTGCAGCCTTCTCGAGCCCAGAGAACGGCTTCATTGCTCCTCCCATTGAGCCTGAAGCAAGGAACTCAGCCCAGCGAGGCCTGTGGTTGGCTTTGGGTCAAAGGCATTAGGACCTTTCAGTATGACACCGCTTAGGAGAAAAGAATGTCACATTCGCCTCTAGATCTAAGTAGGCAAGGACAGGATTATTATCCCCGTTTCACAGGTGGGGAAACTGAGGCAGGGAGCGATTAGAAGTGATTGGCTCAAGTCTGCACAGGGAGTCTGTGGCAAAGGGAGGGGGGGTTGATCCCATGGCCCCTAGACCCCAGTCCTGTAGGCTAACCACTGGGCCACGCTGCCTCTCTCAGCAGGATGCTTTGGTGCAAACCCCTGACTCAGTTTTTCTTCATTTTGTTTGCCCAGGAAACGAGGCTATGAAGTCATAGAGGTGAGTGCGAGCCGTGGGTCGCCTGGGAGCAGAGGTGTGCAGGGGAGGGGGGCGGGGGATGCTGGAGGAGCGGGTCTTATACGGGAAGCTGCCACCCCTGAGGTTTGCTACGGGGAACGTTTGGCCACGTGCCAGCAGGCTAAGCAGGGTCTGGCCTGGCTGACTGGGAGACCTTGGCACACCCTGATGTTATAGGGAGGGGCGTGGGTGACTCGCGGATGAGTCAGTGCTGTTCCCAGTGCCAGGGAGAGGGTGGTGCCACAGGGCAGGATGGGGCTGACCCAGGAGGGGGCACCACCCAGCCCCTCCCTGCCCCTCCCTGCCCCCAGCTCTGCTCTGGTCCTGCCCCCAGCCCCGGCTCCCAACCCAGCCTCGGCATGGCTCTGTTCCCGGCCCTGCGCCAGCCCCCAGCTTGGCCCCCTTAATCCCTGTCCGCATCCCCCCCTTTCCCCCCCAAGCTACAGCCCCGCTCCTGGCTGCAGCGGGTGTGTGCGCAGATGGGGTAAGGGGGGGCACGACCCTCAAAAGTCTGGGAACCGCGGTGCTAGGGGTATGGATATCTATAGGGGAATTACTGCGGTCTTCATGCACCATGCTGGGACTCAGAGGGGAGTGCGCCCCCTACCGAGCTCTGCTCCCTACAGCGCCCCCTAGCGCCGCATTGGGGTCAGCACTGCCCCCCGCCCCCCCCGGGTCTTCTTGGCCCTGCTCAGAGCAACGCGGAGCTGGCTGGAGGACCGGGGATAAAAATCAAGCGGGGGCGGGAGCATAGGTCAATGACCCAGCCACCTGGATACCAGGGTGATGGGCACCCAAGATGGCGCGTGCCAGAACCCATCGCCTCCCTCTGCAGAGAGGCTGAGGGTTAAGTGCCCGTCTTTGTTTGCCTGCGCTGGGATCGGCCCCGTCTGTCAATAAGAACTGGTTTAAACTGACAGCGGCTGGCAAAGTCCACAGAGATAAAGCTAGAGCCGTTTCTGGGTGGCACCGGCGGAGAATGACCAATATGGCGCGGAGCCAATAAGGCGTTAACTCCGGTGGGCGTGAAAGAGACTGATGCTTTGTTCGCTGGTGTGTGGTCATTCCCCTCTCTCCCTCGGGTGATGAATCATCACAACGTTCAGATCGCGTGAAGGATCAGATCAATTTAGGATCCCCCACCCCCGGCCTGCCACTGAAGGCATCCACCTCTGGGGCGGGGCAAGGCAGCTGATAATAAATCACTTCCCCCCACTAAACTGCATCCACTTCTGGGGAGGGACGCACTGCTTGCTTTGCCCGCTACGTGGTAGCATTACTTTGCAGTGGCTCAGCGGGTACTAGAATGTCCGTGTTCACTGGAGACAACCGGGTTCCTAGCGGTGCCGTGGCTGGTGGGACCAAAGGAGTAAGGCACAGCGGGGTGGAAAGTCAAAGGCCGCTGTCGGAAGAGCGGGGCGGAACGTTTTCAGTGGCAGTTTTCTCGCCAAAAAAATGCTGAGTTGTCCAAACCGAAACGTCTCCTGGGGAAGGGGGCCTCAGGCCTGGAATTTCCCTCAAAACAAGAGTCAGCAAGAATGTCACTAGCGTGGCAAACAGCCCAGCAAATAGGGGCACGCACCTGGCATTCGCGGGCCTGAAGGCACCGCTGTCACTCTTCTGACCTGCATCCCACACGCCCTAATCCCCGTTTGAACTTCAGCAGATCTTTTTTTTTAAAAAAAAGCCCGTCCCAGCCAGTGACCGAGAACCTGCCAGGCCGCCCAGCCAATCGTCCCAAAGATTCGCGACCCTCCCTGTTAAAAACGCTCGCTTTCGATCCCATCTGAATTCATCTAGCTTCACCTTCCAGCCGTCACAGGGGCTGCTTGGCCTGCTGGAGTCGGGGACAGGAAAGACTGAGAGATCCCCCCCCCCCCCCGAGAAGAGCTAATAGCCTCAAGATCAGAATCCTCCACTAGGATGGGGAAGACCAAATTATGCACACGTGAATTTGCCTGAGTGTCAGTTAGCTCTTAATGCTGAAATCTACGAAGCAGGTTTGCTGATCTATAATTGGACCCAACAGCTACCCCCTTGGTGTTGAGTCCAGGGAGTGTTAGCTTACGCGTTTAACACTTTTCTTTTCAGATCAGCTTCTAACTTGAACAGCCTTTCTCAAATCAGGACCCCTGCTTATTCGTAACCAACCAACCATTTATTAATCCTTTAGTACCTAACACATTCGTCACCCTTCCAAGGGTGCGCTTGTCTTCTGGGCAATTTGAGGAGCGGGGGTACTTCTCTTTGACGAGGGTGGCCCACCAGGGACAAGGTTCGAATAGGAAAAGCGATGGCTTAAAGCAAGTCTTTTCGAGCTCTCGTAGGCCACTTTGCTTGGCCTTTATAAAGGAGTTAAGATCTAAAATAAGGCCCCTCGGTGTCTCACTGGAGAAGGTGGACTCCGCAAGATAACTGACAGCTGGTTATAATGAAAGAACAGAAGAGGGAAATACAACCTTTGGAATGAAATCTCACCACTTCTTATCCTAAGTGTCTTTTCCAGAGCAGGGGTGTCTCCCAGCCCGGGTAAGCGTGGTGACCCCCTGGTGCTCTCTTCCTTTGGGGTTTTTTTTTTTGGCCAAACAGTTCCTAAGGTCTTGGATTCGTCCTGATGAGGGCTGGGAAATGTTGGGAGATCTTGAATATTCTCGTGGGATGGGTTCCCGGCGTAGCTCCGGCTCCCAGCAAAGAAGGGTTTTTAATCTCCTCTTCTCCTCCTGTCCCAGATTGACTTGGCCAAACCCCTCTGTGAGCAGGGCCCCTTTGACGTCATCATCCACAAACTCTCCGACCTCATCCTCGAGTCCGGCTATGACAGCCAGTCTCACCAGCTCATCCGCGACTTCCAGGTAAGGACTGGGGGCAGGTTAGTAGATTCCACTAGGATCGCCAAGGCCATCCTCACCTTCCCTGCAATAATTCCTGCTTGAACGGGAGCAGATCTTAAAAGAAAAGAAAAAAATCCCCTCTTGATTCAGCAAATGGCCAGCCGGGGAGAATCCACCACAACCACTGGTAAGTTCTTCCAATGGCTAATTACCCTGTTAAAAATGGACGGCTTATTTCCAGTTTGAATTTTTCCAGCTTCAACTTCCAGCCATTGGATTTTGTTAGATCTTCCTCTGCTAGACTGGAAAGCCCGTGATCAAATTTCTGTTCCCCACGTAGGTCCTTACAGAGTGGGATCAAGCCATCTTCTCTTTGCTAAGCGAAATAGATGGAGCTCTTTGAGACTCTCCCTATAAGACAGTCCTTATTCCCCCAGCTCTTCTCTGACCCTTCTCCAATTTATCAACGGCCTTTTTGAATTGTGGACACCAGGACTGGACACAGGATTCCAGCAGCGGTGCCAAATATGGAGGGGAACTAACCTCTTGACAGATACTCGCGTGTCCCCTGCTTAGGCGCACGTGGTGTCTTTGTCTCCCACTAGTGGTAGCTCTGGTTATAGTGCTCCTTAGTACAGGAAGTGACTTTTGGATTCCACTACCCAGAATGCATAATGAAGCACTCGGATGCGTCTGAGTCTAGACAGCACCTCAGGTGCATCGTTTGCAGCGAGGTGATCAACACAAACCCACTAATGGGCTTTGCGGCTTTAAACCTCCCCCGCCCCCAGGACTAATTACACATTTGCTTTGGTTCTTCAGACCTATGTGGAAACCTATTCCAGCATCATCCTCCTTGACCCATTTCCAGCTGTACGGCTGCTCCTGGACCGCTTCGAATCCTGTCGCCTCCTCCGGGAACTTCAGGATCAAGGTGTGCGATTCTGGGGTCTCCTGGTAAAGCCCGGGTGGCCAGTATCCAGTTGCGATCTTCCCCCAGAGCTGACTGAAGCAGTCCCCTCATTTGAATCCGACCCCAGAGGGCGACGCTGTCGGACCAGAGAGGAAGGCTGGCCCGGTGATCAAAGCATTAGCGTAGGCCTTCAGAATCCAGCATTCTCTGCTCTGAACCGTATTCCCTGCAGGGCAAGGTTAGAGAGGAGGTGGCCAGTGTGAATGCGGTGACTCACGGCCCGCTAACGGGGGCTGGGCCCCATAGAGCACCTGCTGCAGGCGTGGCTAAGGGCTTGGCTTTTGGCTCAGGCAGCAGCCATGTGTGGGAGTTAGGGGTTCAATCCCAACATGGGGGGGAGAGAGACCCAGTTCTGGGAACAGCTAAGAAAGCAAGGAAGGCGGGAAGGCAGGAGCTGAGTGGGGTGGGGCATGTGTCTGGGCCTGTGTGTGTTGGGGGCCGGGCGTGGGGGCGGAGGCAGCGCCTTGCACATGGGCGAGGGATGGGTGGTGGAGCCTCACAGCGGGGCGGGGAGGGGGGACAGCTCACACCTATGCAAACCCCCTGCTCCCCCCTTATTTCTGCCCACCCTGCTCTGCAGACAGCTGCATCTTCTCCCCGCCCTACGTGGAGCTGAACAGCGGGACCGGGAGCGAGGCGGCGGCGCGGATCCGGGAACAGGGCCTCACCTTCCCCTTAAGTGAGTGAGCCCAGCACCTCCTTAATCCGTGGGGCCGTTATACCTGGGGGGAGGGGGAGGAGAACCAGCCTCATGGCGATAGGTGCTGCTGATGAACCAGAGCACCTGAAGCCAATCAAAATACCTCCCCTCCCCCCACCTGCCCTGACACCTGTGCACCCCACCATGCTGGTCTTGCAATCCTACCAGTGCAATGAGTTTCCAGGCCTCGGTGCTCCCCGGCTCGCCCTGCAATGCTGAGCCGTGGGCACAGCGTGGGCTGCAGCGGGGGGGATAACAGCCTGCTGCTGCTGCTGGCCTGTGGAGTTGCTCCTTTGGCGCAAGTAGTAGCGGCTCGTGCTCAAGGGGGACCCGGGTTCGAATCCTGCTGGGCGCCTGGGTGGGGCTGGTTGTTACATTCCCACCTAAGGGAACGCTGGCCAAATAAAGTGCCGACTCGGGGCCTTATTGGCTGTGGGGCAAAGGGGGCTACAGGGCAGGTGCACTGGCACAGCAGACTTCTGAGTCAGAGCGGAGATGGGGCAGGGCTGGAGGGGGCGTGGGCAGGGCACAGCCCCCGGAGGAGGAGGTGGGAGCTGCTTCAGCCCCCCAGCCTCTGATTGGGGGACGTGCTGGGGGGGCTCGGCTTTGGTCACACCCCCAACGGCTCGGAAGGGAGGGATTTGGGGTAGAAAGTTCCAGGTCCAGGAGCCCCATTGGCTCTTGTTGGATGAGTCAGAATCCGGGGTGGAACGAGGGGGCGGGGCTAAGTCACCTCACTCTCCACCGACTCCTCCTCTTCCTCCTTCAGTTTGCAAAACCCGGGTGGCTCACGGACCCAGCTCCCACGAGGTCAGTAGCATCGTGTCCCAGAACCTGCTCGTAATGGGTCGGCCACAGCTCCTCCTCCAGCAGCTAGCCCTTGTGGAGGATAACAGCCTACTACCGTGGCTCGCTAATGGAATTATTCTTTTAGCTCAAGCCACGGAGGCCTGGGTGGCTGCGTGAGAGGTTGTGGGTTCAAATCCCTCTGCTGACACGTTTTGGGGGGTTGGTATAAAAGCACTAGGAGACTTTGGGGTGGGAGGGTCAGAAAGGAGGGGCAAGTGCCCTCTCAACACACCAAGAGGCAATGCCAGAGATCAGGACGGGGTCAGCAGTGGGGCCGCTGGGAAGTTTTTGCCTTTAGTTTTTGCTGGAAAAATCAGATTTTTGACTACACAGAAAGCGGCTGCTGCCCACCGGCAAAATCCGACTTTTCCTTGGAAAAAAAAGAACACAGAACCCACCCACCCCTCCCAAATTTGGCCAAACACCCAAAGATTTCTATTTGGAAATGTTGCTGGGGTACTTGGTGGGAGTTGTAGTCTGAGACCTTTATTTCTTCATGCACTAGGCACTGAATTCAATCTCCCATGATGCACCAAGCTATTCTCCTCTTCCTCAGCCCCCACAGTGCATCATGGGAGCTGTAGTTCAGCCACTTTATGCCTCCGTTCTGTCCTACGGGCTAGCTGCCCAGGCGGACTGCATCTCCCATGATGCACCGCTGTGGCTCAGGAGGGGAAAGCTTGGTGCATCATGGGAGATGTAGTCCAGCTAGGAAGCCCCACCTATTGAGGTATGAGGCACCTGAACTACAATTCCCATGAGGCACCAGGACTGTATTTCTGAGCCCTTCCCTCCCTGCCACTCATTTTCTGACCCTCCTAGTCCTCGATATGCAGCCACCGAGGTGTGTCTGGACGAGACCATGCCTCCCAGCATGCTGTGGGGCCGGGCAGCGGCTCAGTATAGGGCATTGAACTCCCCACATGCAACGAGTCGGCCCAACAGAGAGCATTGCATGCTGGGAGCTGCGCCCCACTCACAGGCCACACCTTTGGCTCCAGCTGCAATTGGCTGCTGGCAAGTTGCCATGGCAACCAGGGCTCGCGGGATGCTAGTAGGGGGTGGGGCTAAGGAAGCCCCTCCCCTTTCCCCATCCCTCAAGAGAGGCCCCCTATAGACCCGTCCCCGCCCTATGGAAGCCCCTACGTCCATTACCCTGCTCTTCTCCGCTCTCCCCGCCCCCCCACATAGATGGCGCTGATCTTCAACGAGGAGGGGCTGGGGGAGGTGAGCGCCCCCTGTTTGCTACAGAGCTTCGTCAACCACGACGCCGTCCTCTTCAAGGTCTTTGTGGTAGGCTCCTCCCACTTTGTGGTGCGCCGGCCGTCCCTGAAGAACTTCCCGCGGGGGGAATCAGGTGTGTGTGTGGACGGGGGAGAGGTGGCACCTGGGCCATCTCCTCCTGTGGGGGCTGGAACTGAGACTCTGTGGTCCCTCCAGCCCTCAGTCTCCCTGCTGAGGCTGCCTGGGGCGGGCGGGGGGAGCAGTTAGCGCCAGTCCTGGGGGGGCGGTTCAGTGCCACGGGTTCCTGCCCTACTGGAGAAACAGGGCGGAGGCCCAACAAGCTCATTGCACGGATGACCCTCAGGTTTGCTCTGTACTGAGCTGGAGTCAAGCCGGGCAACCTGGGGTGAAAAAGCGTCACGTGTCCTCGTCCCTCAGATAAGGCCCAGATCCCCAGCCGGGGTCAACCATCCGTTGCCCCACTGGGGTCAATGGGGCCAGATCCCCAGCGGGGGCAGACTGCATGGCTCTGAGCTGGTGACCACCGAGCCCAGAGTCTCTCTGGAGCCCCGTGCCGGAGAATCTCCCGGGCGCACGCTGCCTGAGCCCAGGTGAGCCGGGCTCGTGACCTCGCTCTGTTCCTTACAGCCAGGAAAAGCATCTTCTTCAACAGCCACAGCGTCTCCAAGCCGGAGTCCTGCTCCCGCCTGACCGAGGTGAGCACGGGCGCGGGGAGGCCGCAGGATGGGGCGCGGTGCCAGAGTCAGAGAGGAGTGGCTCTGAGCGGAGGGGGCGCTATGCTTCAGGGAGTGGGGTCAGGGGGTTACTGTGGGGCGCTGTCCCCCATGCCCCAGTGCGGCGCTAGGGGGCGCTGTGCCTCAGGGAGTGGGGGGAGGGGCTCACTAGGGGGCGCTGTCCCCCATGCCCCAGTGCGGGGCTAGGGGGCGCTGTCCCCCAGGGAGTGGGGGGAGGGGCTCACTAGGGGGCGCTGTCCCCCAGGGAGTGGGGGGAGGAGCTCACTAGAGGGTGCTGTGCCTCAGGGAGTGGGGCAAGGGCTCACTAGGGGGCGCTGTCCCCCATGGCCCAGTGCGGGGCTAGGGGGTGCTGTGCCTCAGGGAGTGGGGGGAAGGGCTCACTAGCAGGCGCTGTCCCCCATATCCCAGTGCAGGGCTAGGGGGCGCTGTCCCTCAGGGAGTGGGGGGAGGGGCTCACTAGGGGGCGCTGTGCTGCAAGGCGCTCAATAGAGGTTGCTTCCCCCCCCCCGAGTTCTGTCCTAGCGGGGGGGGTTTGTCCATCTCCCAGAGCTATTAGCCTCACTCCCTCGGCTTCATTCCCGGAGACACCGCGCCGGGCGTCCCTCCCAGCGACCCCCCCCAAGCCCACGGTGCTCTCTGCTCTTTTGCCAGCTGGATGAAGCTACGCTGGAGCCCCCCCCGCCCTCCGACAGCGTCGTCTGCCGAGCCGTGCGGGGCCTGCGCTCCGCCCTGGGGCTCTCTCTGTTTGGGGTGGATCTGATCGTGGAGAAGCAGACGGGGCGGTGCGTGGCCATAGACGTCAACGCCTTCCCAGGTGAGAGCCTGGGGGAGGAACAGGGGCTCAGCAGGGGGCGCTTTTCCCCTCACAGTCAGTGCTGGCCCCTATGCCCGGGTGTAGCACTAGGGGGCGCTGCGCTGCAGGGAGCAGAAACGGGCAGGGTGCGGCCGCTCTTGCTGCAGAGATCTCTTACTCAGCATTGAAGTGCAGCCACCTCTGGGGCGGGGCGGGGCAGCTGTTTATACAGGGATCCCTCACCCAGCACCAAGATGCAGCCACCTCTGGGGCGGGGCGGGGCAGCTGTTTAACATGCAGTGTTTGTAAGGGGCTCTGGGACGCCCTGGTATAGCCTGGATGACTCTTCGGTGGCCTCCGCAGGTTACGAAGGTGTCCCGGAGTTCTTCTCAGCCCTCCTGAACCACATTGAGATGCTGTTGGAGAGCCATGAGCAGGCGGCACGGGCCAGGGTGCTTGTGGCGGAGTATTCCCTGCACCAGCGGGCGCCACACGTGCACACGGCCCAGGAGAGCACCCACGACACCGACCCGAGAGCCCCTTGGCTGGCCAATTCCCTCGAGACGCCCAAGTCGGCACCAGCCGAGAGCAGCTTCTTCACCTTCGCCGTCCTGCCAGCCATGCTCTCCCAGCACTGACGGGGGTGCTGCGCTCGGCTGGCCTCTCCGAGGGAGCAGGGAAGCGCTGGGTGTCCAAAGAGAGCAGAAGCGTCGTCGTACCTATCCCAGCGGGGAAAATTCCCAAACAGCCAGCAGCTGGAGCCCTCCCCTGGGAGATCAGAGCACTGGGCCTTATACTGTGGCATCCTCATCTCTTGCCGTATGGACCAGCCCATCAGTCCATATAGTGCAGAACTGCACCTCCCTGCTTGGACCAGACCAGACCACCGGTCCATACAGTCCAGTATTGCACCTCCCTTCCTGTATGGCCCAGCTCAGATCACCGGTCCCATAAGTGCAGCAGTGAACCTCCCTGCTTGGGCCAGATCAGATCAGAGGTCCATATAGTCCAGTATTGCACCTTCCTGCATGGACCAGCTCAGATCACTGGTCCATATAGTCCAGTACTGCACCTTCCTGCATGGACCAGCTCAGATCACTGGTCCATATAGTCCAGTACTGCCCCTCCCTGCTTGGATCAGCGCAGTGTTCCATACAGTGCAGTCTCTTACCTCCCTGTCTGGATCAGACCAGAGCCCTAGGCCCAATCCAGCTCAGGTCACCGGTCCATATAGTGCAGTACTGCACCTCCCTGCTTGGACCCGACCAGACCAGACACTATGGGTCTGTATAGCCCAGGCTCTTCGCCTCCAGCACTCAGTAAACCATACCCTCATAATGCACCGCATCGCAGATAAGGACTGACTCCCCCTGGACTGTTTCAAATCCACCAGCAAGGGGGCTGCATGTTCCAAGAACTCAAAGGGGTGGCCGAGCCACTCCTGCCCCCCGGGGGGGTGATGGCAGAAATGCAGACAACATGGGAGCCGTGGAGAATAAATCCCACTCACGTCCCAGCCAAAGGACTTGTGGTGCTAGGTTGTACCGCATGCTGGGGCCTAGGGGTGTGGCGGGGGGGGGGGGGAGATTGAGTCCCCGCTTATTAGATTCTCCTTCCTTGAAAGGAGTCTCAGCACTGAATTAAGGCAGGGGACTGCCTGCTTCCGTTTTCCAACCCCCCGTGGGTTTCCTGGCCCGTCCCTTTGCCACGGGATGCTCTCAGCCTCCGCACCCCGCAGAGCGGGCTCTGAAAGGGCAAATGCCGCGTGTGGAAAGTTTCATTGCAGACTATGAAGGGGGAGGGGGGCCAGAGGGCAGGAGGAAGGCTGTCCGGTGAAGTAGCAAGACCCAACTCACAGAGCTTTAAAAAAAATAATACTAAGATTTATTTAAAAAAACAACAATAGAGCTTCCACCATACCAGCCAGAGGTCCCTCCCAGATCCTTTTCTTCCTACAGCTCTGACTCCCAGCCAGAAGCCAGGGAGTTTTATAGAGGGATTCCCTACCCAGAATCCTTTGCAGGGAAGGTAGCCCCGCCCTAGTTTCTCTGGGCGATTGACAACCCATCCAGCCAATCAACTTTCTTTTCCTCATTCCTGACTCTCCAGGTCTTCCCCTCCATCGCAAAGGGTCTTGCTCTGAATTAGCTTGATCCACTTTGGAAGTGGATTAAACTAAACCGGAACAAGGTATTCTTACTCCGGATGAAGAGTGTGGATGGAAATAATCGGGAATAGTCAATCCACTTTAAATTCACACCATCTGTGCATCTGGAATAACTTTCACGTGTAGCCCAGCAACCGAGTGCCACCGTATCAGAGAAAATCGGTCGAGGTCTATCTGTTGTGTATCCAGCCAGGAGACACATAACAATCTGGGTGTGATTCCCATGACACAGCAGTTCTGTGCCCAGCGGAGAACCTCGCCTTGTCTTGAAACTAGTGGTGGGCAAAAAAATTTCTACCCAAAACGTATTTCCGGCGAAAAATGCAGCTTCAGTAACCCCAGAACTTTTTTTTGCCAAGCTGTTTTGGTTGGGAAAAAACCCTAAAACGAAATATAAAAAAGCTGAAAACAATTTGAAATGTGTCATTTTGACACACAACCTCTCCGTTTTTCAGTCAGAACCATTTTTTTCCTCTCAGCCTTGTTTTGAACATAAAAGGAACGGAAATCCAACACATTAAAAAAAGTTCCAAATCGAAACGTTTCCTTCAGCCCGAAATGACATTTGTCAGCTTTTGAATTGGCCCAAAGTTTTGAAAAAAATGGTTTGTTTGTTTTTTAACCCAAAATGATTTTTTTTACCATTGTTTTGGAATTGTCAGCAAACTGAAAAATCGGTGATTCACTCCCATCTCTTTGGGACGGGCTGCATCAGTGGCCGATCCCAGGGACCCCTTCGAAATTTGAAGTCCCTGGTCTCCGCCCCCACTGAAATATACATGTGCTTGTAAGTTTCCAGGCTCCTCACTGCCCCAGTCAATCTTGATGGCTACATTTTGATAGGATAACGTATGGGAATAAAAGCAGAGATTATTATTTTGAGGGGGTAGTAAATGTCTATCCATGTCTGGTGGGTCTCAGTAGTGGAAAGGGGCAGCTAGGAAAAATAGTCAAGATGGAGGAGTATGGAGGAGAGGGCCGTGCAGGGAGGAGAAATCATGCAAATTTCACCTCTAGTTTCTCTCATTTGCATGCATACATTATGTAAATTGGAAGATTTCAGAGTAGCAGCCGTGTTAGTCTGTATCCGAAAAAAGAAGAACAGGAGGACTGTTCTTCTATGCATCCGAAGAAGTGGGCTGTAGTCCACGAAAGCTTATGCTCTAATAAATTTGTTAGTCTCTAAGGTGCCACAAGTCCTCCTGGTCTTCTTTTTATGTAAATTGGACAATTTTAGGCTCCACCTCCTTCCTGGTGTGCTGTTGGTTACTTTGCCACGCCATAGCCTGCTGAAGGAAGTGGTGAAGCCAGAGACCCCAGTGTACAGCGTGCATTAGGTCACTTGCTCAATCAGTTAATTAAGCAGCTCCGTGGGGCTCTGATTTTCTTAATGTCCCCCTGGGATACTTTTCATTATTATTTATATCATGGTAACGAGGTTCCAACCAAGATCAGGGCCTTATTGTGCCAGGCGCTGCCCAGACCCCGGCCAAGATCAGGGCCCCGTTGCGCCAGGCGCTGCCCAGATCCCGGCCGAGATCAGGGCCCCGTCGCGCCAGGCGCTGCACAGACCCCGATGGAGATCAGGGCCCCGTCGTGCCGGGTGCTGCCCAGACCCTGACCAAGATCAGGGCCCCATCAGGCTGGGTGCTGCTCAGAATGTGACTGAGATCAGGGCCCCTGTTGTCAGAGGCACAGTAAGAAACAAGCCCTTGTCCCAAAGAACTCACAATCCTTATAGACAAAGGCAGGATCATTATGCCCATTTTACAGATGCAGACACCAAGGCCCCGCGAGCTGCCAGGACTTGTCCAAGGTCACACAAGAAGCCTGTGGCCAAAGCAGAGCTTAGGTATCTCTGTCACACAGTATCTGCGTAACTCACCATCCTCAATGTAGGTTTCCTGCCAACTTCCTGCTGAGGCGGGGGAAGGTTTGTATCTCCACGGCACTGCCGGGGAACCCGACGCAGGGGAAGCCTTGCCACCGGTTTCACAGGGAGGTTGTCGGGAGACAGCT